AGGAGCCTTCTCCCAAGAAGAAGAAGAAGAAGAAGAAGAAGAAGAAGAAGAAGAAGAAGAAGAAGAAGAAGAAGAAGAAGAAGGACAGTGAAATCAGGGGCCAGAAAGAAGAAGAAGAAGAAGAAGAAGAAGAAGAAGAAGAAGAAGAAGAAGAAGAAGAAGAGTGATAAACAGAGGCCGTAGACTGAATTTCCATACTCATCCGCATGCACTGAGCTGAGGAGAAACGCGCTCATTTCTTAAAAAAAAAAAAAAGAAACGCGCTCATTGCCGTATGCACGATTCGACAGAAAGTTCCATACTCATCCGCATGCACTGAGCTCAGGAGAAACGCGCTCATTGCCGTATGCACGTTTCAGCCAGGAAGCGCACCCGGCACTCGTCAGAGGCCTTCTCCCCGGATCCGCCTTACGGCACCCACCTACTTGTCCAGCCACTGAGAAGGCCCCTGATGAGTGCGCTTTGTGGCTGAGTATGGGGCTTTCTGTCGAAGCGTGCCCGAGAGATAGTCTACCGTCTCTGTTTATCACCATTCTTCTTTTCCGTCTTCTTCTTCTCCATCTTTATTACTTTTGCCTTCTTTTTTTTTTCACCCTTCCCGCCTCTTCCCTCCGTCGCCCCCTCCTTGCTCCGTTCTTCTCTCACCCCTTTGTCATTATTGCCAAGTTCTTTTTTATTTGTTTATATTTGGATACTGGAGCTCCGCACTGCTCTCACCCCTCAGTGACTCCTCAGTGACTTTTCTCGACGTGGACAATGTCAATGCTTCAACTTGATTTCCCCCCCTTGCCATTCCGATGAGATGATGGTTTGCTGTTTGCCAAAAAAAAAAAGAAAAAAGAAAAGAAAAAAAAAAGATGATGGTTTGCTACGCTGTTGAACCGTCTGGTTCCGGATATGAGAGTCCGAAGCATGGGGGGGCCAACAACTTTTCGCACAGTTCGGGCTAGATCCCACTGGCAAGGACGAATTGGAGTAAGTGTCTGAATCTGTCCACGCATCGATGCAGAAAAGCAGATCAATCACAGTTTTCTGCACCTCACCACAAACACGTTCCAGATTCAGACACTCATTCCAAGCCACTTTGCCAGTGGGATCTGGCCCTTCCGCCTCCTATCCACAATTTCCGGTACCGCGTCTCTTTTGTTGTCGCACAATTCATGCGGCGTGCCTCGACAGGCCGCGGTCCCCACCGCCGTGTGGAAGAGCTCTGCTACGTAGCCCTTACGTCCCACAGCAGCCATGCAGACACCCGCTGTCAGGGAGCCGCCGACCCCTCCCTCCACACACCCCTCCTCACACCGGCTGTGCATGTGGGAGTCGATCGTACCACACACGACCCGTGAGGCGAGCCGATCGCTCCACCCAGGAGCTGTCATGAGAGTCAACCAGCGACTCTAACGGACATTCACAACGCCTCGCACGAAAGGTGAGCGTCTTCCATCGCTGGCTGTCTTCCCTTCCCTCCACCATATCCTCCTCCTTCCTCTTTCTTCGGCGCCTTGTCAGCCTCTCTTCTTGTACACTCATTCTCTCCCTGTTTGCCTGTGTGCGTGAGTGTCCACGTGCGCACGAGGGCGCTCGTGCGTGCGTGCGTGTGTGTGTGTGTGTGTGTGTGTGTGTGTGTGTGTGTGTGTGTGTGTGAGAGAGAGAGAGAGAGAGAGAGAGAGAGAGAGAGAGAGAGAGA